GGGGGGCGTGTGGGGCGAAGCAGCAGCTTGCTCGCACGTAGATCGTTTACTCTGAGCGAATCCAAAATGATCTCTGTGCGCGCAAGCATGAGTTGGAGGACTCGTGCTTTAGAGTGTAGATTGCCTTGCACAGAGGAGGAAGAGGTCTGCTGTTGCACCATAAGATCTATGCTCCGCAGCATTTAAATGGGGGGGTGTTTTCTATGTTTGTGTTCTGAATGCTTGGCATATTGATTTGGAACTCCTGTTGCCTGCAAGCCATGAAGGGCTCTGCTACTCCTGCTGACTTCTGTTGGTGCGCATGGCAGACCAAGAACCAGCAGGATCAGAAGAGATGTGACAATATGCAATTGTAATTGTAATTTTATTTGTTGTATTTATTTGTGTTGTGAGCCGCCCCGGGGCTGAGTAGCAATTGGGACAGCATATAAAAACTGTAAATAAATAAATAAATAAATAAACCAGCGTGTTTGAGCAAAACTCCAGCCAAGCCAGTAGTCCCCTTTTTGTGGCTTAGTACCTAGGGCAAGGGTAGGAAATTCAGCATACTTCAGAGGACAACTCCAATCATTCCTGCCCATGAATTAACGTTGACCGGAGCTGGTGGGAGTTGTACTCCAAAATTTTTGGAGGGCAACAGATTGTCTACCCCAAGTTAAAGCTGTGGGGAAAATGTGAAGTGTGGAGGCTCCCTTAGCTGAAGGAATACTGGAAAATCAAACAAAATGTTCAGGGAATCTCTTTCAATGGCAGTTTTAAAGAGATGAGTGATGGAGAAAGTAAAAGAAATAAGTAGGGAATTCATTCCAACTACAATTACATGTTTAAATGATGATAAAATGATCTGGCCAGGGCGGCTTATTTTATATTGTATTCTTGTATTTTTAATTTAATATTATAATTATTTTAATTTATTGTTGTAAGCCACCCCGAGGCTTCGGCGAATGGGGCGGCATAAAAATGTTTTAATAAATAAATAAAAGAATGAAAGATTCAGTGGCAAGTGAATACGCAAAACACTTGCATAAGAGTAGAGTAGTGTGTTTAATTAGGTTGCACTGAAATCTGGAAGAGTGTTTTGATTTGCTAAAGCAAGTTGTTTCAGTTTTTATTATAATGAGCACTATTTTATAGAGAGCTGGTGAACAGCTAGAGTTTCATCAACAAAGTTTTGCACTGGAAATATTTTTAAATGCGGGATTCTACCTGTATATTTCACAGCTGTATTTTGTACGGGAGGCAGAGATGGAAACATCATGGTGTGGGACACTCGGTGCAATAAGAAAGGTATGTTATTTTTCTATCCCATGCACCCCTTTTATCCTCACAATAATCTCAGAGGTTAACATCACCACAAGATCATCCAGGGAGTTTTACTGGAGATTTGAACTTGGGTCACCCTGTTCTAATTCCTATGCCATCTGCTGTGTAATTCTGGTTCCATTTTCCTGCTTTCATTAAGTCTGATTAAAAATATAAAAATTAATTGCAGAGGTACAACTCTAGTTGAGAAACAGTATATTTAGTAAAACTCCAAACAGTGCATGTGAATTTCTATATGCAACTGTGGTACTGAGGAAGGGGTTTTTAATATTGTATTCTGAAACTGTCTTTCAGATGGATTTTACCGACAAGTGAAACAAATAACTGGAGCCCACAACATCATAGACAAGCAGACACCATCCAAATTAAAGAAGAAAAAGCAGAGCATTAAAGGACTTGCTCCCTCAGTGGTAAGAATGTGGAAATTACAAGTCACTTACAATCATCTTTGTTAAAAAAACAAAAAAAGTCTAGCTTTGTTTAAAAAGACTAGCCTTACAGGTATAAGGCAAAGGTATACATGTGATGGTATAAAAAGCTGCTGCAAAAAAGATGGAGGGAGGGAGAAACAGAGAAATTGGGAGCCACACTTGAAGTAATTGGAGGCTGCCCAGTGGTCCAATGGCCTTCAGTAAAGAACTCTGAACTAGAGGAGGAGGAGGAGTAACAATAATAATAAATATTAAATATTATAAATTTCATTGCTATACCATCTCATGGCCAAAGCTTTCTGGGCCATTTACAGAATTCATAAAAACAAATTATAAAAATAAGAAAAACATTAACATATAAAACAGACAATACATTTGTGTTTAAAAGACCATAGTTTGTTAACGCAGCTGGGTTGACATTACAACAATTCAGAATTTAACAACCCATACCATGGGAGTTGGCATTATACAGAAACCCAGCTTATGTTTGTGCAGCTTTTTCAACTCAAGTTCAACCTTCAGTTAGGATTAAATAGCAAGTTCTGTGATCTGGGCAGTGTGGACTGTAGGGTATAGCATCCCGCTTCATGAAATCCCAAGATGGTCAGTGCTGTAGGTGGCACTTCCCCCTTCCCTTTGTAGAGCACTGGAACCATTTGAAAGGCCTACAACACAATTCTGTGCATGTTTACTTAGAAAGCCAGTCCCACTGTGTTCAAGAGAGTTTATTCCCCAGTAAATGTGACTAGGACTGCAGTTTCAGTTGCCTTGCCTTCTTTTATGTGTTTTCTTTCATGTATCACAATCACCTATAGATCAAATGACTGTGATACAGCTACTGTTCCTTAGAGATGGCAAATTGTTGCTAACTTGGTCGATGTAGAATGTTGGAAAGGTACCGATTGAAGCTGTTTGCAAGAGATTCCCAGGACTGGAACTACATCAGATAATTTTGCTGTAACATCAGCCTCTTCAGAAAGGAATTTCTTTCTTTCTTCTCAGGATTTCCAACAGAGTGTGACTGTGGTACTGCTCCAAGATGAACACACCTTAATCTCAGCAGGAGCAGTTGATGGGTAAGGATCCAATTCTTGCACTGGGTCAAGATGGGCAATACTTAATGTCCATCTGAGAGGAGGTAAAGTAAGGTGAAGAAGGGTGCAAGTGGACAGAGTGCCCCTCGGATTGATACAGCCTGCTCTGGTTTCCCCCAAGGTGGCTCTGCCACTGGGATATCAGTTCCTTAAGAAGGCTTAAGAAACACCAAAGGACCAGGATAACATAATTTCACTGTTTATGGCCTTTCTATGATGAGAACACATACTTACTTTAAAGCAGATGTGAATGGAAGGTTGGTCAGGATCCTCCCCTATTAACATCCCTGGGTGACTTAAAATGAACGGCACAGGGGTTCTGTCTCCCGTTTGTCAAAACAATAACAACTGCTCAAAAGCTTCTGCTTGGCTATTTTATAATCTAGGTTGTGAAACAAGAATGCTTGGGGACCAACCAGGCAGGTTCATTTGCGCTCCCCAGAGAGGTCCGCCTGGCGCCGTCGTTATTTGTTTTTCGGCGCCAGGCAAAGACCTTTTTATTCAAGCGTCATTTTAATTGTTAATGTTGTTTTTATTTTAAAGTTTTTTGGCCAGGGCAACTTATTTTATACAGTTATGTGTATTTTATATTGTTATTTATGTATTTTAATTTATTTATTTGTAAGCCGCCTTCGGCGAATGGGGCGGCCTAGAAATTTTCTAAATAAATAAATAAATTTGTGCGTGAAGGGACTTCTGAACTTGGTTCTGGAGCAGGTAGCAAATTCCTAAGTCAGGTATGTGTTTTGAGAAAGCCTGTTCCCTAATGCATAGCCTATATCCACACACCTGAGCTATTTTGTATCAGACTCTGGTAGGCAGATCTCAAGGTTCTACTGAAGCAGAATATAGATGAAAAAATCGTGCAGTCGATGCTGCACTGCAGCCACCCCACCCATGTTGTCGCTCAGCTTAATGTTTCTTTGGAGAAATGAGATAGGCATGTTCTGTCCATTGGTTATATGAAGAGTCGCATTCTCCTTGGTGGGTGGGGGGATATGGTGCATTACAAATGGGAATGGACGATGGTTTGGGATTTTGAGCAGTTCTGTCTCTTGAATTGTAGTGTAATCAAAGTCTGGGACCTGCGCAAGAACTATGCCACTTATCGCCAGGATCCAGTGCCATCAAGGTCTTTCAGCTACCCTGGGAACAGCACTCGTAAACTTGGTATGACAAAACTACTGGGAAGGAAACCAGTGTCTTTTATTTTTTTATTTATATATTACGTTATTTTCTAAAAAGCCATTGAGACAGGGAACAACAATTTAAAATGAATTGAAAAACAATGCTTTCTTTCTGTTTGTTTTTTTAAGTAATCTCTGCTTTGTATGCCTACATATGGCTGCATTTTTGGTTGAGAGTGATTATATGGAACCATTGCCATTTGGATTCAGACTTTGCTTTTGGTGCAGAAACTCCCTCAAGGTGCAAGCCTATGCAACTTCCTACATGCTAGGATTTGTGGGTCCGTCTTCTATGTAAGCTTCCATAGGTTTGTGCCCTTAGTTCCCTTGACTGATAACCTGCTCCAAGAGAAGTACAGAGGATCTGGTGCTGCTAATTCTCCTGGATCTTTCCATGGCACTCAATGTCATCAGCTGTGGTGCCTTTTGGGTAGACTCAGCACGGGGAGCTTAACTATGAACCACTTTTGTGATTCCACCACTCTCTGGGGGTCTGAGAAGAGAAGAGGATGTTTGCCTTTTGGCAAATACTGCTTCGCCTTGCAGCATATTTGTTGTGAGGTCATGCCTGATTCCGTCTCGGCCACTGTGCTTTTGGACATTGACATGAAGCCACTGAGTGACACCTTTGTCCAGAGCGACATCTGGAGATGGATGTTATCAATATATGCTGGTGATGCCTAGCTCTGCTTCTTTACATCTGAGTGGGGATGATGGCCCAGCATCAGCAGTGGACTGGCTGAGTGCTACTAAACTGGCCCTCAGTCCAGGAACCCCTGGGGTTTGTGTGTGCTTCATCTTTATGGTAGATAAACAGCGTGTTGTGAATGGGGATTGTATTCTTGCGGTCTAGGCTTGCTCCTTGCATCCTTTTCTTCACTAGAGACTTGGTGTCTCTTTGATCTCCCATCAGCTCAGGCTGATGCACCAGTTCTGACTTCTCCTGGAAAGGGATAGTTGGCAGCTTTGACCTGTGTTCTGCTAATCTCCAGACTGGATTACAGTAATGCATGATATGTTCGGTGTCTCTGAAACAGCTCAATGAAGACTGAACATGCTTAGCGGCCACAGAGTGCCAGGTACCTCTTGTGAGGAAGGAATTGAAAACTAGGGAGGGAGGAATCAAATGCAGTCTTCCGGAAGAGATATGGCTGGCTGGCTAGGACACCCAAGAGGGGGCACTCTGCACTGGGACACTTTGTTAAAGCTCGCACTTGTTTCTACTAAATACCTCCACAGATTTCTGATGTGGCAACTTGCTTACGTCTCTTCTAGGCTATTCTAGTCTTATTTTGGACTCCACTGGTACCAGCCTCTTTGCTAATTGCACTGATGACAATATATATATGTTCAGCATGCCAAGTTTGAAGAACACTCCAGGTAAGAATGATATCATTAGTTAGCCTTAAAACTACATCCTTATTAAATTTGCCCACATGTATTTATTTTACTTGTACCTTGCCTAACAGCACAATCCTATGCATGTTTCCCAGGAAGAAAGCTACACTGTGTTCAGTGAGGCTTACTCTAAGGTAAGTGTGCATAGGATTGCAGCCTGGAGAAGGTAATCATTATATAAATACCTGTGTCTGGAGAGCTGCTTTTGGTGCTAATGTAGAAGCTTTCAACCTTTATAGTTCCTTTCTTCAGATACCTTTTGTCTTCTGATGGGTGAATCAATATTCTACAAAGGAAGGATAGCTTTTAGTTAGAGTGCTTAACATCTTAGTCCTAAATACTTTTGCTTGAGAGACGGAAAAAAGTTGATGCATAAGCGTGTGTGTGATGCAGTAGGGCCTTGATGCTGCTGCACCAGAACATCACCACTTGAATTTCCATAGAGGGAAGGACCACGGTCTGCATAAGATCAGTTGTTCCAAGTGTGTGTCGAACAATTACGATAAGCCTCATGCTCATCCTGAGAGTATCTCCATCTAAAGGATGTGAAATGATTAAAATGGCAAGAAATGTATTTCTGGATTATGTGTGAGGATTCGGTTCCACAGCAGTTCTAATGAGTAACATAAGAGCCATCCTGGGTCAGATCAGGGGCTTAACTTGCCCAGCACTCTGTTCCCACAGTGGCCAACCAGCTGCCCATGGGAAGCTGCAAGCATGACATGAGTCACCCTCATGTTCCCCAGTGACTGGTGTACAGAGGCCTAATCAGGATAGAAGCCGTGAATAAGGTTATCCTCCATGAAGTTGCCTTGCGACTTTTTAAAAGTTATCCAAAGCAGTTTAATTCAGCACTGTGGAGACTTATTTTTCCCCAGCATCTGCCACCTTGTTTGGTCACTGACTTCAGAATCTCTCATCATGCCACTAGAGAGCAGCAAATCTGCTTAGATAAGTTTGAAAAAAGAAGGTGCTGTGAACTTTCTCCTTTGTACTTCCTTTGATTGAAATCTCTAGGACATAATTATTTTTTTCCCTTGTTCTGGAGTAAATGGGGTCAGGAAAAAAAAATGATGGCAAATTTGTCTACTTCCCAACCATCTGAGCTCACATGGTACCTTCTAGTTTTTGTACATTTAAACCAAACTGGGAAAGGACCAATATGCTGGTCAGGGTACATTGGTTATTTCAGAGGCAATTTACTGCAATTCTCAAAGAATTGATCGCTGCTTTATCCTGAGCTACAAATCCTCAACTGGAATTCAGGCTGGAATACACTTAGGAGATTGTGTACAATTGTTTATTTCTGACTGAGGAGCAGTATTGCTTTGGTAGCACTAGAGAGCTGTTGTCTGACAGCTTGGATGGGAATTGTCAATATAAGGAAGACATAGCAGCTGCTATCACCAAGTTGCTTCAGCTTGTATGTAGAGTTTTGGCTATTGGACACATTTGGGGAGCTAAAGGAGGGAGGTGGGAAGTGTACAACCGCCTTCCCCCACATGGAACTCTCCAGATGTGTTGAATTACAACTCCTATCACTCACTGCCAGGCAGCCTGTCTGTTCTGGCTGAGGTGAGAGGCATTGTTGTCCAACATGTCTAGAGAGAGGCAGGTTAGGGAAAGCTGGTGTGAAAAACTAACTCTGCAGGGCATTGCAAAGTGTTGGCTTGGTCTTTGCTGTCAGCCCCAAAGGCTATGTAGTTGTTGGGTCCTGTTGCATCAAGTCTGGTAACAGTTGTGTGATACTGGCTTTTTCTTAGTCTCTCTGTATCTTTTTTTCTTCTTTGCTGTTAATCTCCATTTTCTCACTTCCATTCTGTCTGGCCAAGTAGATGGTGGCACACACTGCACTGTAGTCCTACTTAGCCAAATACAATCAGCCGTTTTTAAGAGTGTTTTATAATAGCCTTAGGAGCAGTTGTCGAAAAGTTCCTTGCCTACCCATGCATACCTAAATTAATTGGTAGGGGAAGACTTTTTTTTAAAGGGGACCCAGTTTCCTAGCTGCTGGGAGGCAATTCTTAAGGTAAGGAGCGTTATTTTTAACCACACATGTTCATGCTTACAGCCCTGGATCTATCACCTGACTTTGACTGGTAGCAGAGCACCTTGAGTTTCAGGACCCAGTTGCAGGACAGAGGGAGACTGCCCTGAATCCAGCACAGAGCACTAGCTGCAAGAAGTTTTAGCAGGAAGTATAGAGAGCAGTCCATTTCTACATCAGGAGTCTGAAAATGAGCAGTCCTCTGTTAAATGCTACGAAATGGAGGCACAATATGGCTACTGAATACACATTTCAAAGAGCACTCTAGAATCCTGCCTCCTTCACCATGATAAAAATCAGTTCTTGCTACAGGTCACAGTGTTGACATAGAAAAGGGAAGCTGCGCTGCAGCTAGCTTTGCTTTCAGGCTGACTGATGAAGGCCTTCGATAACATTTTGTGCTAAGTCTAGGAATGTGCCCTTTCCGCCTCCACAGTCAACCCAGAGGGCTCTATATCTGCATGTAACTCCCCCAGTAGTGACAGGTGCTTCCAGTTCTTGACATATCGGGAGCTGCAGATATTTGGGCAGTGGTTCCAAGGCGGAATGGTTCAGGTGAGGCATTGCAGGGTCCTTAAAAATAGCCTTGTGGCCTGGTCACTGAGCCAATGCACATCCTCCTCAAGCAATAAGATACCAATTGCAGGAAATGATAGGAGCAGCAGCTTCCTTTTCTGACACTGAAGCTTCACGGTCTTGTCACAGAAATGCTGCTAAGAGATTTAAGGCGCTTGCCCGAACACATGGAATTTGCAGGCCGAGAAGCAAACAAATGGTGTTCCAGCGAACATAAGGCAGCCTGCCAGAAAGAGAGGAAGAGCAAATAGAATTCATTTCATTGGACTGTTGAATTTTTCATATGGCATCCTAGGATCCTTTGAAGGGAGTGGTGTGTAAATCCATTAAATAAGGAACTCTGTTTATTCTTATACTGCTGGCAAAATCTTTTTGGAATCCCAGGTTAGCAAACCAACCTATTGGGCTCTGCAGGAACTTACTGGTTCTGTCATACAGGAATGCATTCACTTTCCACAAGTAGATGTCAATTGCTATGATCAGCATGTAGGCACAAGATGTGCAAATTGACCTCTTGGCAAAAACCGTTCAACAAAAAGCACACAGATATTCATATGCACACACAAATTGCTGGCAGTCCAAATGGTCAGAAGATTGGAACTACTTGGCGACAATTGTATTGGCCCGAACTATGAGTGAAGCACTGAAGGGATTTCCTAGTGCCAGGGTCTACATCTGTGCACTAGGTAAGCGCTCTTTTGATTCTCCACACACCCCTGTGGAATCTGAGGCCCATCAACTCTGAAGCAGAGATAAGTTTTGTAAACTTTGCTCTGAACTTCCACTTTGCTCTTCATGTGTGTAGGAAAACTGAAAAAAGTGAGCTGAACTGAAATAAGTTTCTCAAATGATTTTATGTTTTGCTAAATTATGTGCAGTTGTTTCCAACCCTAGGCCAGCTTCTAATAGGGTCAGTCTTGAGAAGTCTCCATTTCAGGCTTCCTGTGGCTAGAAAGCATTATGAGAAATTGAGGAAAGGCTGTGCAATGACATCTGAAATGTTTCACATCTATTTTCATTCTTATGTAAAGGATTATTTCTTCAATATGCAAGGAAATACTGCATTAATCCACACACATTTCTGCAACACAATTCAGCTGTCAAAAGATGGAAACCCTGTATGGGTATTAGTAGCTTGCTGGGCTATGTTAATTGGCCCTACCCTTCCATCACATTCCTGCTGGCTTCATCCTGCTACAATTGGTTGGGAAGGTCTGAATATGTATAGCAGCTTGAGCCCCAGCACGTGGACACTGAGGATAAAAAGAAGCAGCAAGCAGGGAATGCAAAACCAGGACTGGGGGCAATGAAAACAGCTACTCTTATCTCCCAAGCAACAGTAATTGTGTTGAGGGGAGACACCTGAATGGGGCTGGAAAAAAGGTGGTGCATCCTTCACATACCACCAGTGCAGCAATATGCCTTGCCTTCTTCAGTCCAGTCTAAGTTGCCAAATTCTGTTTAGAAGGGCATTCTAAAAAAAAGGGAATATGTTACTGGGTATAGGGACTGGGTAAGTGTGAGAAAGTTGGTAGGTTTACATTTTAATGAGAACTTACTAAAGTTCCATTTTCTGAACCAGAACATAGTTGACCATCAAAATCCATACATTTCCAAATTTGTGATACACTTTGGGAAACAGATGCAGTGTCCCATTCTATGGTTCCTTGAGGCTTACAAGAGAAACTAGTAAGATCCAACAGCAATCAGAAAAAAGACTAGGCCCTTGGGCAGCTCCAGGTGGGCTGTGCTGGCTGAAATTCTCTTCAACTGGCACACCTATCTTATGAGGGGGATATAGGCAAATCAAGCCTCATGGAGGCTGACAAGACCTGGAATGTGGCCAGCTGCTCCCCTTCTGGAATGCTGATGGGCTATTAAAGGGTATTTGCCCAATTCTTCTAGCCTGAAACTTTTGCAAGGCTGGAGATGGAGCAGTCCTGCTGAGTCAGCATCATCCTTTGAGCCAAAGAGCAGGGACAGAGCTGTGTCCCCTGGCCATGAGGACCCTGAATTAAGGCACTGACTGACCTTCCTATGGGGAACTAGCCTCGCATTTATCATCAGAACCTCCTGTTGTTACACTGTAAGATCTGAGGGCTGTTTAGAAAAGTGCACACAAAAACTTATCTGTTCTCTCCTCCAAAAAATAACAAAAAAGGTAAGGAGGTCCATACAGATTTGGGTGGAAATGTCAACATCTGCTTTGGAACTAAGACAAAACAAACTGAATTGTGAAAAAGGGGGGTTAAGTGGATCTGAGCTTGCCATCGTCCGGTCCATGCCTTTGGCCTACCACGACTGTGCTAGAACAGGGTAACCGCTAGTCATACAGCTTGCAAGACTGGTGTGGTGGTGGTGTCACATTGCCTTTATATCCTGCTTATTTTCCTCTTGTGAGTTCTGCTCTTGTGATGCTGCTTTGACTCTGTTTGCCCACTGTCTTTAGGCTTCTTCCTCGTACTTCGCTCTACAGGGTGGCAACTGCTGTGCGTAGCTAGTATGGGAAACCCTGGGCCCTGCACTAAAAGAAACATGCTTCAGCTATTTGGCTGTGAGGGTGTGTAAGCGAGTAGGAAATGCCTGCATTGCTGGCCTCCTGTGTTATATAACTTAAGTTGTCTTTTCCTTCTGTGTTTTTGGGTTTTTTGTGATTTTCGTGTTTTGTTCTTCTGTTGGATCCCAGTGTCCAGTTTTAGTGGACATCAAAACTCCAGTTTCTATGTCAAATCCAGCATCAGTCCTGATGACCAGTTCTTAATCAGCGGCTCAAGCGACCAGACTGCCTGCATCTGGAAGGTAAGAGGCCCACACTCTTGTGGCTGCTCTGTCCACAGCGCAGCTCTTCCTGTTCACTGTGTGCAAAAAGCCAGGCAGAGACAGAGGAGGGAAGTTGTCACAGAGCATCACTGGGGAGTACATGTCACATGGTGTGCTCAAAGTAGGCAGCCGTCAAGCCTGAATGCAATTCTTGACATAAAACAGAACTAACTTCCTGCCTCCACCTTTTCTGCTTGTTTATTTCAAGTTGCTGAGCTTAATCTGGTTTTAATGGGCCTTTAAAAATCTCTTTTCAATCCTGTTTATTTAGCCAGCTACAACAAGCTGAAAGTTTTTGCTCAATATTTTAATAGCAGCCTGCATTAAACGGGGTCTAATCGTTTGCTTTTTTGAGTCGTTTCCCCCTTCCCCTGGCCCTTTCACCACTTCATAAACTCTTGCATCAGACTTGTGTCTCCTTCCCCCCACACCCCTTGGCTGCTTAATTTCAGGAGTTATTCTGATGGCTTCAGCAAAATTCCCAGCCAAGGAACTAAGTTGGCATGTTGAGCTAATATGTAGAGAAATGCAAATATGGGCAGGGGGAGTTGAAATATTTTTCCACATATTTATTTATTTAAAACATTTCTATGCCGCCCCATTCGCCGAAGCCTTGGGGCGGCTCACAACATAAAATTAAAATATACAACGAATTAACAATATAAAATAAGTTGCCCTGGCCAGATAAAATAAGCAAATAATATTAACAATTAAAATGACGTTTAAATAAAAAGGTCTTCGCCTGGCGCCGAAAAACAAATAACGACGGCGCCAGGCGGACCTCTCTGGGGAGCACATTCCATAGATTTGTTTAGATGTTTCAGACCACCATCCAGCGTAAAATGAGCAGAATGAAACACCTGCTAAATACAGTGCCTGTAACAAAATGAAAATAATCCGAGGTACTCAAGTGAACAGCAAAGCTCAGATTTGCATAATTTTAGAGCAGCTTCCCATTCTTCTCCCCCACCTGCTTATGTTGGTTTGGTGTACAGGAAGCGTAAGGAGTTGTGCCTGCTGTTAAATGTTTTTGTAGAAAATGAAGTCAGTTGTCCCTCCTAGCCACCCAGGGCTAGCTTATGCCTCATGCACGGAAGTCTAAAACGCTGCTGCTTGGCTTCATTTATATCTTTGCTACCGAAGGGTGTATATTCCTCCCCTTCTCAGTGTTTCACACCAGGAACACTTCAAACCCTGAGGCAGTGGGCGGGGGCTGTAAACATATCACGCATGGGAGAAAGCATGGAACATGAACTGCTGTGTGCCAGCATGCACAAAATGTTTCTTTTGGGCAAGAAAGATACCTGCCCAAATCTGCAATTTCCAATCCCTGTCCCCATTCCAATTCAGATTAGTATGCCATAAGTAGAGAACAGGTGCACAGCTGAAAGGAAGGGCAAGGAGTTGAAGGCAAATCTAACAAGTTTGCACCTCCAGATCAATATATGAACTGTAACATATTTATCACTTGGTATTTGCATTTCTCAGAATGTGCATGCATGTATATACCACTTGTTGCATACACATAAGAGCCCTGCTGGATCAGGCCATAGGCAAAACTTCAAACTTCAGTCTGAAAGTTTGGTGGCTTGTTGTAGGGAGAGGGAAAGAAAGGAGGTAACCATTAGAAGTGCCGTCTTGGGCAATTACCAGATATTGAGTGTGGGCTCTTCCACTTCTCTCAGATCAGATCAAATCAAACCAGCCTTTTCTGTGTATGCCCCAGTTTTGCCATCACTGCAAACCTGTTTTCATTCCGGGATGGGCTTTTCTGGACAGGAAATTTGGATTAGTTCTAAGGCTGCCTGCCTGCCAATGGAATGGAAATGGCTGGCGGAAGGATTTCCTTCTACCTCTCTTACATTTGCACCTGAGGGTTAGGTCCAGAGCAGATGTGGCCGTGTGGGGTGAGTGGACGTTGGACATACATTGCAGTCAGCATACTAGTTCTGAACTGCAGACTCCTATTTGGACTTCATTTTCTTTTTTTCAGCAGAAATCTGGGGTGGGATTTGAGTTGCAGTTATCTTTGAAGTGATGTGAAATGAGCATTTTCTTAGTGGCTCTGTTTGGGGATTCCTAATGCGTGTAAATGCTGGGAATTGTGACTAGTTTGCTCAGGGTATTTTTACTTAAACCCAACAAAACAGTGTCCTTTTCTGCTCTCATTAATAAAGGATTAAGAGCTCTTGTTGCACAAAATGGAGGGAAAAATCTGCTAAAGGTAAACAAAGGTATTTTCTTAATGAAGTGCTTTGGCTGTCCTCCTTAACAGGGCACTGGTTGCCATAGCATTGCCTGCTTTAGCAAAGAGGTTGAACAGGACACTTCTTAAAAAATGTAGGCAAAAGTCTGACCTAAACAGGGTAGGAGAAACTCCTCTTAAAATGAACCAAGTTGCCCGAAATCAGTCCTTTTATTCTTTTTTTATTCTATTTAAGATGCCAGAACCAGCTCCTACATAGGGAGTGCATCAAAAGTGGTGCATTTTTTCTCACCTTTGTGTCTTTCGTGCATCCTTGCAAGGTTCATCTGCACACACAGTGAAGAATCTATTAAGTTCACTTAGTCATTAGTGCAAATCCCCATCAAGTATCACATTACCAACAGTGACTCATAGCTTCAGGAAGTAGAGCTTACTGAAAAATAGAAGTGAATGTCTGAGATGCTGTGGATGGTTGAGGTTAGCTGAGGGTATGCCTGCTCATTTGGGGCCTGGCATTTTCGCATGGTTGTGGTGGCACTTTGCTGCCTGGTCCTTCACCTGCACCATTTCTGGATACTGCAAACAAAGAGTTGCCAAGATTTAAGCATGGAAGACTGTGCCCAAGTAGGTTTTCCAAAAATATGTCATCCGTGTTGTGCTTTAGGACTGGTCTAGAAGTAGCAAATCTTAACCTAGTCAATAAAATGCTGCCTACTTCTATAGCTCTGAAGTTCTGCTATCAAATACATGTTGATTTCTGTCATGTGAAGAATTTCAGTAAAGCAGGGCTCACTGGGTCTTCTGAATGCATTGTACTCAAACACAGCTGACTATCAAAGGGTGAAAAAGGCAAATTTCAGTGTTAGAATTAGGGAAGACGTCAAAAATAAAACGGTACATACCATACTACCCTTATACAAATCTATATGGTATGACCACACTTAGAATACTGAGTACAGTTCTGGTCCCTGCACCTAAAAAAAGATATTGAAGAGTTGGAAAAAGTGCAGGAAGAGAGATCTAAAGGGTCTAGAGAAATTCCCCCATCAGGAAAGGTTACAACACCTTGGATTATTTAACTTAGAAAACAGGCAGGTAAGGGGCAAGGACAGAACATAACCCAAGTGTACAAAAGTGTGCATGATACAGAGAAAATGAATGGGGGACATTTTTCTTCCCCTTCTGTAATATTAGAATCCTTGATCATCCCATGAAGCTGATTGGTAGGAGATTCAGGGCAAATAAAAGGGAGCACCCCTTTAAGTAGCACATAGTTAAGCTATGGCATTCATTTCCACAAGATGAAGCGATGGCCACCAGTTTGGCGACTTTAGAAGGATAAGGGTAGCCTTTGGAATCCATGGAGGACGAAGCTATCAGTAGCTACTAGTCCTGAGGGTGAAATGCTATTCCAGTATTGCTAGGGAGCATGTGCACCAGTCCTGATCCAGCATGGGCCCATCTTATCTTCTTCTGGTGTTAGATTGACTTTCTGAGAAGCAAAGGCTACAGTCCTATGCACACCCACCTGGCAGTAAGTCTCACTGAATTGGATAGGACTGGCTCTGAGTAGATATACATGGGAGTTGGCTGTAATTTTGATTTACAGAGAATTTGTTTCTGGAGATGTGGGAGTGCTTCTTCTTGCACAACGTGCCACATGAAATGTGGGTCTTCCAAAGCATCCTAGCCTTATTCGTCAGAGCAAAATCCTGTTCCTTTAAAACCACAAACAAACAGCTGAAACTGTGGGGGCAGATGACCTGACCAAACAGCTGGCTCATTGGGTTTGGGAACCAAAATCTGGCACTGTGTATCTCTTTGTATCTGCCATGGCCCAGTTAATAGTATGAAGGCATATGTCTCATTCTGAAGCTAAGCAGATTTAGCCCTGTAAGCTTTCAGGATGGGAGCTGGCCTGAGGAGCAGAGGTAAGCGGCATTGAACTCATTGGAGTTGGAGCAGGGTGCGTAAGTAGGATTGAAAGATCAGTACTGCTTTCTTTTTGCTTTTGAGTGTTGCCTCTGCAGGTAATTCTAAATAACTTGAAAATGAAAATATTGCTCTTGAAGCAAATTATGCAAATATGCACTATTCTGCAGAATTGTGTTATGCGCCATCAAGTTGTCTCCAGCTTATGGCAGCTCTTTGAATAAGTGTCCTTCACAATGTGCTGTCCTTGAAAGCTCTGCTCAGCTCTTTTCAACTCAAGGTTGTGGCTCTCTTGTGGAAGTGAGCTGTCTTTGACTTTCTCCAGCCTGATTGCCTTCTCCACTGACAATTGCCTTCTCATGATATATTTGAAATACAACAGCCTCAGGGTTTTTTTGCTTCCAGTTTTGGAGACTTCAAAATGAAGACTTCTGAGTGCAAAATCTTGGGTTTATGTAGCATATTCCCAGCATTACTTTTTGTTTGGTTTCCCTAGTTTTTAATTGGCTAGTAATATAATTTCATGTAGGTGCTACACATCTTTTCTTGTAAAGTCACTAACATTATTATTTCAATCAATGGCGAATTATTTATATAGCTTTTCCTCCTTGCAATGGTCTTGGAGTCTTGTCCTGTACTTAGCTATTCAAGAACGTAACAAAAGTAGACCACTTTTCAATAAAATCTTTGTTTCCCTCTTTACCTTCTCTATTTCCAATAGTATTTGTAAGTTTCAGTGTTACTACCAGGATTGAAATGTGGTCAACATTTGTTTGCTTTTTTCCTGTGCTTCAGTATCTGCACTCTTAAATTATTCCCTATTTTCCTTGGGGAAATATTTTTTTCAGAGCTCATTTAAGCCAGGGGTAGTTTCAAACAATGCTACCAAGGTGAAAATTTTGTAAGGATAGCCCTGAATCTGTAAAGAATTGGGCACACGATGTCTCTTTCCCTTAATATAGGAAGAGATTTCTCTGTGTTCCGATTCTCCAGGAAGATACTACAGAATATGGGGCTGCATGCACAATTCAGGATATGGAGAATACTGGCTTTTGCTAATGATTTTGAAAAGCAAGTTTCCAGGCCTTATGGCTGCCAAGCTATGCTTGACAATATAGGGGCAAAGGATCTGAAATCTCATATGCCAAGGTGGGAGTGACAGCTGAAGAATATTTTCTGTTAGTGGAGGAGGGGGACTTGAGTGTTCTGCATAGCTCTTTGCCCTTCCCTATGATAATACAAAATACGATAACTTGTGCAAATTGGTATAATTCAGCCTTTTAATGCGGATTTTGAATTGTTTGACATGAGAGACTTTTTTAACACTCTAAGCACATGTTACACAGAGATTACTGACTAGCTGTGAAGTAATACTGTTGGCACTGTGATTTGAATGCTGCAGAATGGCCTTCCCCAACATTCTTTCAGATGCTTGGGGCTGTAACTTCGATTGGCAACAGACAGTATGATCATTGGCTGAAAGTAACGGTTACAAAATATTTAAAGCCTTTAAACTGCTGCAACCCCTTATGAGAAGTCTCATAGCCTCAAGGGTCTGGCTTCCACTTATTTCATAGCCTCTGGGTGTCTTAAATGGAACCATATTTTCTGATTCTTTTAATATAGCTTTTCAGTATTTTCTTGTCCTTTTTGTTAAGGTGTCTGAGCCCCAGCTCCCTCCCATGATGCTCCATGGCCATTTGCAAGAGGTTACCTCTGTTTCCTGGTGCCCATCTGACTTCACTAAGGTTTGTGCCTGCATTTGGAATTCTGTTTTTATCTCTTCTTTTCGGAAATTTCTAGAAACTCCATCAATGAAAGCTAAAACACAACTCCTTCCATTTGCTCTCAAATCCGGTAACTGGCCCAGCCCGACCGAGTGCTCTCCAAATCGATTAGCCTGCAGCCGCTCTTATCCCCAGCCACATGGCCATTGACCAAGACATCCAGGGAGCCCCAGATCGGCAAAGGCTGCCCTAGCTGCTCTGCTCCAAGTGATATTTCTTGCTGGCCCTCCCTTTTGGGAATTCTAGAACTCTTCAGTCAGTTCTCCTGTTTCTGAGCACAATGCAGCCTGTTCCAACTCTGGCAGTATAGTGCGTCTTTAGACAGAAAGAAGACCTGCAACTTGCAGCATGTCCCGCCCAGCTGTGCTGGAGGTTGCAAACTTTTTTCTATCTGAAAGTCATAGGATTGTGCTTTAGGAGTATGTGCTGGGATGTCCTTAGTCCAAAAGTTGCGTATCCATTGATGTGCTAGCCGGCCATTGGCTAATCACTATCCTTGCATCTTTTACCCACTTTATGGAGGTAATAATGACCTGTGTCACATTTGTTGTAAAGATTATAGAGAGATTATGGATGAAGCAAGTGGAAGATGCAAACGTCACTGCAAAAAACAGCCTTCCCCAACCTGCTTTCTTCCAGATGTTTTGGTCTACAGTTTTCAGCATTCCTGACCATTGGCCAAGCAAGTTATGGCTAATGGGAGCTGAGGTTCCAAACTTTTGGAGGGCATCAGGCTGGTGGTACCCTCCAAATGTTATAAATGCTAGGTTATGCAACCAGTTATAAATGCTAGGTTATGCAACCAGTGCTCTCCAAGTGCTACACTGTCAGAGATAAGACAGGTAGTAACCAGGATGACAGCAATTTCTGTTATGGTCCCCCAGTTTGTGGCATTATTTCCTCAGGGAGGCTCACATACTCCTCTACACTGTTGTCATCTTGCCATCAGGCAGCCCTTTTTAGTCTCCAAAATTTTAACAAAAATTTAATTCTGGCCTTTTTGCAGCTTTTAATTGCCTATTCATTGATTATTAATGCATTTATTTCAAAGATAAATATCCTGCCATTCCTAAAAATAGACAACATCACAATTCAAACATTAGAATATTAAAAATTCACTGGCAAAAATCTGATGAGTAAAATGAAAAAACTGAAAGTTTAACTCTATAAAAGCAGCAGTGGGAAATAATCCATTTAGTGCCTTGTCACAGTAGCGTAAAATCACCTCAGCAAGCTATTTGAACTAGATACTATGATCCAACAGTCAATTTTTATCATTGGGATTTGGCTTTTTTGCTGTGCTTTTATTACTGTTTCATCCTGTAAACTGCTCAGGAAGCTGAAGCTGAAGTTGCAATCTTTGTTAAAAGAAATAAAAGAAGTTGGTGGTATGATTGTTCTCTCATGTAGTGAAAAGCGTGTCTTTCATAACACTTTTTTAAAAGCTCTGGCCTAGCATGTTTTGCAAGGCTCTCATCTTAAATTGTATTATGTCTCTTCTCTTGAAAGACAGACTGAATTCAAAAAGTGAAAGCATTTCAGTCTTAATAAACCCAATGAAAAGTTGCCCCTTCAAGGGCAATCATACAGATCCACCTGCTAGGAACATGCTAAGCCAACTTCTGAATACAGTGGTTGCTTGTCCACCATCATGGCTTGCAAGATTGCCTTTGAAGGAAGACCTCTTTGTTCCAAAACACGTTGGCTTTATTTAGAAAAGGATATTTTTCATTTGCACCATTGAGAACGCATTTTTCCTTGCATTCTGTCAAGGTTTTAGCATTCCCCTCCTGGTTGTTTCTTCTCTTAAAAGCCAGTTAAAGGAACAGTTAATGAGAGGATTTGAGGCCTTCAATATATTTATTTTATGTATTTTATTAAAATACATTTATTTTGTATGCCATCCTATTATACAAAATCTCAGGACGGCTTACAATATTTAAGCAGGATGTCAGTGAGATTTTTCTTGGCATACGCCACTGCCAAGCTTTCCACCCTTCATTCCGCACAGAGTCAATATCCCATTTTTGGGAAAGGGTATTTCCCAGCTGACTCTTGGTGCTCTTCGGCAGATTTCCACATGTTCAGATGACAACACCGTAAAGATTTGGCGCTTGAGGCGAGGCATAGAGGAAGAGAACTGGCTAGACAAAAGCAACTTGGTGGGTTGGAGCTGCCAGAAGAAAGTGGGAGAACAAAATGAAACAGGTAAGCGTTGTGAGACACTGGCACATGTTTCGCTCCTCTGCCATAGATTTGGAACTTAGGAGAACTACTTTTTGTTCTTTTAATAAAACACAAACATAATTTATGCTCTGTTCAAAAATGGTTTTCACAACAGCCCTATGAAACTGACAGCTTGCATGTGTGTGAGGATAAATGTCTGTCAATGTGTGAAATACCACCAGAGCCTGAAGATAATTTTTCTCCTGCATAGCTCATGAAGTAACCCTAGTAATTAAAAGCACACAAGGCTCTTTCAGGAGATCAGTTTGATGGGCAAGTGAGATTATACAGCTGCCACAGGTCTTTTTTAAGTGAGGTGACTGTTTGCTGAAATGCATTAAAACTCTGTGGTAAACAGCCACTTTCCAGGCAAGGCAGGGTAAGGCCCAATCTGCCTTACAACACAGTTAAAACATTCAACCAACCAGCCATCCTGCAAGCAAGGCAAGATCACTCAGCGTGACCCTATATGACAAATCACTGCACCCAGTTGCTCACCGAGGGCCATTTGCATTGGGCATTGCGGCTTTGATGACCCTAAAAGATGACCGCCTTTCCATACTGGCTGGGATGATGGGAAGGGAGGGTACCATGCTGAGGAAAGCTGTAATTGTTCAGCAGCAGTAGACTTGGAACAGACACAAAAAGCACACATGCACAATGCATAAATGATGTGTGTGATCCACTATTTCGGAGCATTATGGCCCCTAGCTTAAATGGCTACAGAGATGCATGGAGGATGTTGACCAGCGGCTATTAACCACGATCCCTAATGGAGTCTCATGGTGGGGGGGCGGTGCTCTCACATGCATTACCAGATGCATTCAGCTGGCCTCCAGTGAAAAAGATGCTAGAGCTAGATGGATATTCTAGGCTGTAGATTAAATTGGGGATCCTCTGGATCACATTTGCAGGGGAATATGGGGAAATTGCACAGGGAGAAGAGAGGAAGGGGCACCCTGTTGTGCAAGCGGCAGTCTGCATCTGCAGCACTGGATGAAGCCCAGAAGGGTCGTGGCACAAACCTTTGTAGCAGCTTTATACTCATAAGACCAAGCTGAAGGGAGGCACCTGCCCTGCTGGAAAGGGAGCATTTGGGCATACTTAAATGGGAAAGGAATTACATGTTGCTCAGTTGAACCAAAAAAAAAAAAAAAAAAATCCCTGCAGAGTGTAAATCCCCTGCAAGGCTAATGGGATTCTAAACTGCTAAACTTTTGTGTGCGTTTTTAGAATGGCATTCCAGGCAGCTACAAAGCAGTAGCAGCAATGGCTGTGTTTATATGTTACCTCTAAAGAACTCCTACCTAGTCAACCTTTGTGGAACGGCATGTATGTGTTGATTCTGCCTGGAACAATACAGGACAAGGAAAGTAAACTTCAAATATAGTTTCCTGGTTCTGACTGACTCGTCTAATAATAAAACCTTTATCTAAATCCTCTGGGCAGGGTGTACAAATGTTTGGATAAACAGGAATTCTAGTTATGTAGCATTGCACTGATGGCCCAGAACTAAGAACTGTGCAACCTCCTTCCTTCAGCAAGCCACAAAATTCTCCAAAAATAATTGGAAGCAAAATTGTTCATGTGGCCTTAAGCACTTCCATTGGTTATGTCCTGTCCTTCCCTGTCGGCAGAAGCAAAGTTGGTAAACTATCATTTCAAAGACTGATGTTCCACCATATGCAGATTTAGGCAAATTGGTACAATCCATTTATTATTCATTCTGTTAGCAGCATTCAACTTGAGATCAACAGGTCTGGCTTTTTTCTTCTGTCCTATTGTTCATTCATCACAAATAGAAGCACAAAAAATTATTCAGGATATTGCTGTTCTTACTTATTCTGATTTGAAAAGAAGGGTGGCAATAGAGGGGAAGAGGAAGCTGATCCTGGGACGAGGGTGTTGTGGCAGTGGGCAAGAAGGAGCAGCTGTGAAGGCTCTTGCCTTGAACACCTGACATTCTTGTTGTTTATACTCTAATTCAGAGCATTCTGGCTATGTGGGCCTTGCCTTTGGCTAAGCCTGCTTCCACGTGCATAAGGGCTAGAGGGTTTAAAAAAAAAAGGTGAAAGCAAAGATTAATGGGGATTCAGTCCATGACCTAAAGTAATTTTATGGGGTCTGCAGCTGTGCACTGCATGATCAACACTAGTTTTGACACCTAGATTGATCTTAAACAGAGGCGCCCAAATCTGTCCCAAACAGCACGTGTCAGCTTGCCCAAAAATAGACTGGTGGAAAGCCCTGTCAGAGAGGGACTCCCAGCTACACGAAATTAGAAGGCTGGCGTGAACTGTGGCACGCAGGGCTTTTTCACCAGGGGTTTTGCTTGTGGCCTTGCCATCTCCAAGTGAGCTTTCACCTTCACAAATGGCTTCTTTCCAGCCAGAGGAATAGCTGTGAGGGATTGTTTTGCCAACATAGAACTCACTTGCAGGAAACGTGCAGAACAATAGGAAGGGATGTGCCAGTTCCCTCTTATGCTGTATCTTACACACACACACACACACACACACACACATCATTGACCTCTTTGGAGATGGGTTGTTTTTAAAAATTTCCACTCTTCTTCTCATAGATAGAGTAGGAGCTATGTATTCTTCCAGCCTGAAAACTCCCAAGCAAAGCTAGCCCTTGTGTTAGATAAAATGTTGTTCCACCTCATTGAATTTGCCTTGAGACAGGTCAGGAGTGGAAGAGGAAATGCCTGAACCTCACAAGCATGAGCCAGAATCCTGCTGATCTTGGCTCTTCTAATGTAAAATGTATCCTATGTACACAGTAGTTATTTGCACTCTTGATTCACTGTGGCCTTAACCAAGTTTCATTTCAGGGCTGTCTGGGTAGAAACATGCAAATAGTCCGGGTTTCTATGCACTTTAGTGGTACAAGTTGTAATGTAGCCATACTGGACCTATAGCATAAGCTTCCCTTTGCTTTTTTCCAGTGCTGTATGTATCTGTGGGCTTTGTTTAACCAGCTTTCTGGGAGCTTCTGTTCATGTTTTGAAAAAGCAGAGTTGCAGCCCCTGGTGCCTGAGCATGCAGAGGCCAGATCAGTTGCACGCTTGGATGCAGAAGGTGCAACTCCCTGGTCCTCTTCTGGTATTTTCATTTCGGCTACCACCACTCTGTACCTTCTTTTCCCTCCACAGTCCAGATGCTTGCCAAAATGCACCAGGTTCTTCAAGACCTGTTTGTAACTTAATGTGCCCACTTCATAACTTAGGCCACAATGTAAAACATACCTGTTAAAGTGTTGCAAAAGAGTCCTTTATGTCAGTTTTCCATATCTGATGTCCTCCAGATGTTCTGGATGTCAACTCCCATCAGACCCATCCAATATAGCAAATGATCAGGAATGCAAGGCACTGTAGTGCAAAATACTGAAAGGTACCAGGTTGGGGTAGGCTGCCATACAATGTGAGATGCTCAGATTCTGTCCTATTCAGGAGCATCCCCTCGCTTTATCCGCACTTGTGGTACGATGTTCTCATGTGGACTGTGTGCTTTGTCCCTCTTTTTAGGCACACCAAACAGCAAGCATGGTACTCCCGCGAAAGTTCTTCCAAGCTGCAGCCCTCCTATTTCTTCACCCCAGGCCGCTGCTTGTGCTCCAGCGTATCTGGGAGATCTTCCTCTTCCCACCAACACACCGACGTGGTCTTCAGTCAAACCTCCAGCCAGCACAGCTTGCACCTCCGTTCCAGCAAGGCAGAAGGAAACTACTCTGGGTTCTTCCTCCAAGCCAGCACCACCCTCAGTGATGTCCATTAGACAGTGGGTGACCAAGACTCCCCATTTATCTCCTCCTGTGAAAGGAGCAGAGATGCCTACCCCACAAGGAGCCCTTGCAGGGGTTTGTGAGGCCACCGCCCCTTCCAAATCGCCACATTCCAGGTCTGAAATGCGTGCCAAGCGGAGGCTGGATTCCAGCAAAGAAGAAAATGCAAAGTGCCTGAAAAGTTGCAACTGCGTGATTGAACTATACCCAGTGTTTAAAAAATTTAGGCTGGAACATAACACTTTAGTCATAGATTCAGAGTCATGTGAGAAGGACTGGCTGACCCACAGTGGACCAGTGCAGGCTACTCCAAGCCTGAATGAGCCTCCCCCTCCTGGGAATTCTTGCCTCCCAAATTCCACACACCTTGTCAAGGAATCTTGTGGGAAAATGACTGGCAAAGAGAACGGTTTTCCTGGCAAAAGAAGCTGGCTGTCTGATCTGGGTGCTAAGCAACAGACAAACAAGATCAGGAGCCCAAACGGATCAGGCAACAGTGCCCACTTGTTGCGGAATCTGAGCATAAGACAGCAGGAAGCAGGGACGGGAGTGACATCACCGGGGCCTGTAAGTAAATTCAGCACGGTTGCAACAACTTCGATACTTTGGCCTTATCGCTCTGAGCTGACTTTCTCCGACCTGATGCCACCAGCTGTGTTGGGACTACAGTTCCCATCATCTGCAACCAGCACACCCAAGCTGGCTGAAGGTGATGGGTGTCTTAATCAAGCACAACTGGAAAGCACCATGTTGGAGAAAGCTGGTCTAATTCCTTTGTTAAGGGTATTGTGTTCTACAGGAAAAGCATCGTTTGCGTTCCTTTGCTTGTCAACGGAAAGATGCCCCTGTTAAGCCTCTTTGCATGCAGGCAGCACCATGTGTGTTTTAAGTACAAGAGTTGCAGCATTTCACTTAAATACATCAAGATTTTCACCGCATCACTTCTGTATATTTCAAAACAAATCCAAGCTTGGCTGCTGAGCCAAGAGCCATTGTGGCAGTGCAGCGGTTGGCAACCTCGTGCTTTGCAGATTGTTGGACAACTCAGTTCAGTCCCAGCCTTCGTGGCCGATGTTCAGGATGTTGGGAGTTGCCCAAAGGCACTCGGATGATTCCAGGGTCTACTGTGATGCCACAGTATGAAACCAATGCATCCTGTCCTATGATGCAGCCTCCCCCTGCATCAGGATTTGGAGCCCTTTTTTTCTTGCCTGACACCCCAAAGTTAATATATACACGTTCTGCATATCACTCCCCTGTTGGAGGGCAAGAGTGTAGCAGCGAGATGATGGGGATGGCCAAGCAAGATTCTGGGTGAAGAAGCTGAAGGAATGATTCCAGCAACAGCTGGTGAAGGGGCACCTGTAAGCACTGCTCACAGGAACTTGGCAGATGTAGAGCAGCCTTTTTCAGTCCGGGCTCTACCTCCTGCTGTACTCAAAGCACTTATGCATTTCAGAATGCTTTCTACCTTCCTTTCTCATTCTTCCTTTCGATTCCTTGATGAGGCTTCTGGCTGAGAACAGGAAACAACGCAGGGAAGCCTCTGTATCCGTCGCTACCTGCATTTCCTTTCCTCCTCTGGTACAGCGTGCAAAGCTGTATCAGAAGGCAGAGGGAACGGGAATGCAGAAGCATTTCCATTACACAGCTAACAGGGCTCCTACGTTCTGTTTCAAGATTAAGCGGGGCTTCTGCTGCAGGAAATACTTTCCCCAGGGTCTAAAGGCCAATGGAGACAAAACACAAGCAGGGCTCCTGTTTCCTACATAGCCCAACTGGTTTTCAGGCCAGTATCTGAGCAGGGCTCTGTGGGTACAAGAACACATGGACAGGCCTTTCTCCCAGCCTTTGGCTGTCCAGGTGTGATGGACTGCAGTGTCCCAGCCTGCCAGCCAGCATGGCCATTGCCGTCTAGCACATCTGGAAGGCAGCCGTTTAGAGAAGACTGATGTAAGGTATGTCGTCTGCATTTCTCCATAGGGCCTGGATTTTTCCTTTTTTACTCACTATTGTCTCCCCACATGTCTTCTTGGAAGGGCAGCAGCACAGATCTGCTGAGAGAAGGGCCAGTGGCGCTTCCTTCCTTGGCACTGCGGGCAAAGTAGACGCAGGAAAGAGGGTAGGGCCAGGATGCCTGCATGCGCCTGCCTTAAAGCACCTACTGCCAGTAACTAAGCCTTAGCAGAAGCCTTTGAGATTTGAGGGGAGAGACAGCACAGAAGAGGGAAGCCACCAACTGGCCAGTGATTGAGAGAAAAAGGTTGGGTCAGGGGAAGGGACGCAGCTTTCTGGGAATGCCAGAGGGCCTGATCTGGGACTCCAGGAGGGCTGGATTTGGCCCACAGGCCTGAGGTTCGGTGCCCTGGGGTAAAATGTTTAAAATGCCATGGGACAGAATTATATCTCACTTCATACTCTTTGTTCCACAGATTACAGCTACTTCTGTGCCTATGAGGAAGATATGCACATACTTTGAGCGAAAATCACAGAAAAACTGAAAACTCTGGTTCTTTCTACATCTGCTTTAATGTAATAGTGTACCTTAAGTTACTGCTGGAGGAGTTTGCACCACCCATGGAAAAACACAGATGTCCTTGGACCTTGCTTAAAGCAAAGTTAAATCCAATGCCATGTTAGCAGAAGTCTTACTAGTGGGGTGGGACTTGCTCTTTCTTTCCTCCTCATATCACCTTCTGTGCTGCCTGAAAATCTGCTCTGGAGGATTCCCTGACCTCTGGAGTGTATTTTGAGGGTCCCAGGTGACTGCAGGGGGAAACAGTGGGCTCACCATTGGGTCTCCATTGACAGAACTGATTCAGGCAGTGAAGTGACACAGTTGGAGACAATCCTGAGATTCTAGCTTCCTGGAGATCATTTAAATTCTCCTAAAACTTGTTACCCTTGTATTGCTTTTAATTGGTTGGGAGATTAGCAAATTTGAGAGATGTGTTTAGTTAATGTAAAGGTTTTCAAAAACAAACTATAGGGCTTTTAAAATTGTAACTAATATTTTTTCCTCAAAACCTTAGTCTGTCTTGTTTGGCAGTACCTTTTGCCGCATCTGCTTCCAAGCAGAGAAGAGCTCAAGGTCTGAGTCAGTATCTGACCTCTAATGGCAAAATGGAATAATCATTTGACAGCCTCTTTCCTGATGAAAGAAATGTTCCTTGCACAGCATACAGTAGCAACAGTGCAAAAATTACCTTGTTTTTATGTGAAATACAAAGTTTCTTAACACTGTAGTGACATTTTCTCCTTCATTTCTAATGGAACAAGTATGACTGGAAGGTGTGGAAGAAACATACCTGGAGAATACATGCGCTGCATACACTAGAATCTCCTGGAGGAGTGGCTAAGTCGGAGCATGACCATCAACAGTTCACATTGGCGGGAAAAGAAGCCTAATACCCTGGCAAGTGATGTATTCATGGCTATGGGATCTCAGCTCTTACTTCAGCCTCTTAGAAGTGGCAAGGGTGATTTCAGCTGATTTCACATGAGCCTCCATAAGAGGGCTGGAAGCCTCCAGGGGTTCAAATGCAGCTGTTCTGGGGTGGGGGGTGCAGATGGCTACAGCCCCTTCTCCTTCCCTAGTTGTAAAAGCCACTCATCTTTTACTGGTTTCCTGACTTCTGCGCATTTTTGCTCCCACTGCAAATGGTTGAAATACCTCTCAAAAGGCTTAGTTACTGGTGAAAGAGCCTTGAGTTAAAATATGCCGGTATTTTTTGTATGTTGGGCTTTCCGGCCCTGCCTGTAGTTCCAATGGAATGTTGTTCCCAAGAGCGTCTCCAAAATTGCATTGATCCCTTGGACTGAAAGAAGTTTCCTATTCCCTGAACTACATCTCCACAGTAGAAACAGTTCAGAATCCTACAACCTGACCACATTCCCTTGCATATCAGGTGCATTATTTTATACATATACATACGCGGTTAACTGTGTCTCTGACTTCGCCTATTTAGGGGATGTCTGTGCTAAAGGAAGTGCTCACTCGTGGTGTCATAGTATCCAATTGCCGGTGACTTTATATGTTCGTGGTTTACCTCTCATTGAGCTTATCAAATTCTTTCAAATGCATGAAGTAATCAGCTGGGTAAACAAGTGTGCATTCCTCAAGAAAAGATCTATTTATATTTATCAAAGGCTCTGAAAGGTCAAATAAGTGGTACACAAGCTCAAATCTTGGAAGTGGCTGACTCACAACTGTCATTGGTGCTCCTTTAGGGCGTTTCCTTACTGTACTGAACTTGTTACTCCTATTCACTAGTCACTGCTAAGTCAGGTCACATCTCCGTTGAGCATATCGTATCCAGTGATCAAATTCTGTTTTCCTGTGGCTGTTATGTGTACCACACCTACTGCTGCCTAGTATCACTTAACCATTTAAAGTCTTTTTCTTCCTCCTCTCTGCTCGAGCTGTATGCACCCATTTGCTCAAAGTAAACATTTCATGTATCTGAGGTAGGCGGCAGGTCCCGCCTTCTCCACCCAACCTGGTATACTGCATTTGTTTGGGACCACACTTCCCAGCAGCCCCAGCCTATAAGTCCAGTAGTCAAAGATGGCAAGGGTAGTACGCAACTTTGGTAGGGCTTCTACCAGGCTTCTCTAGCACACCAAAGCTTATGCTGCAGCTAATCAGCCTTTGTAATGCTACAGGTCCCTTGCTGGAACCTCTCCTTCGGGACTTCTTTCTCTGTAAGTGCGTTTAAAGGAAGAAGAAGAGCTCTGCACACCTATCTGTTTACATGGAGGCAAACCTTCCCACTTTCACAGTGAGCTGCGGGCAAGTCAAGTCGATGAGCTTATCAGTGCTCTCACCAAAACTGATGTCAGGCCCGCTACTGCTTAGATGGAACCCAGCCACCAGTGCCATGCCTTTAACATCAGAGCGCTGAGGTTGTTCTTTCAGCAGCAAGATTAGAATGTGGATTCCATGTGAAAAGAAACTCAAATGTAGAAAAAACTATCTGATAGGAGGGGAAAATGCACGGTGTGATCCACTGGGGCAGCCCATAACCTTGGAGCTCAAAAGGATTGCAGGCATCCAGTCTAGCGTGGGAGGGTCTGAAGGTGATGGTCAGCCCTGTACTTCACAAAATGCCTAGATGGCTGGTTTTAGCCCTATGATTTATTTGCTGGGACTGCCAAGGGCAGACTGAGCTGCTGCCAGGATACAGAGCCAGTGTGGCCTGGTGGTTTGCCTGTTGGACTGGAAATCTGGAAGATCCGGATTCCAGTCCTCACTCAACAATGAAGCTCACTGGATGACTTTGGGCCAGTCACTCTCAGCCACCTCACTTCACAGGGTTGCTGTGAGAATAAAATAGAGTGGAGGAAGACTATGTAAGCTACCTGGGTTTCTTGGAAGAAGAAAGAAAGGGACATAAAAACAATGCACTTTTATTAACAGTATTTGTGTACTGCTCTGTATCCAGGAGCAGTGAGTAGTAAAAGCTAAAACAAAGTAATAGAAACAGTGTGTTAAAGACTATGCTGTGCTAGTCACCAAGTCATGTCCAGCCCATCGCGACCCCATGGACAACATTCTTCCTGGTTCTCCTATCCTCCACCATCCCCCGGAGTCCATCTAGGCTCACACTGACTGCTTCAGTGACTCCATCCAGCCACCTCATCCTCTGCCGCCCCCTCCTTCTTTTGCCATCTATTGTTCGCAGCATTAGGCTCTTCTCCAGGGAGTCCTTCCTTCTCATTAGGTGGCCAAAGTATTTGAGTTTCATCTTCAGTATCTGGCCTTCTAAAGAGCAGTCAGGGTTGATCTCCTCTAAGACTGACTGGTTTGATCTCCTTGCAGTCCAAGGGACTCGCAGGAGTCTCCTCCAGCACCACAATTCAAAGGCCTCAATTCTTCGGCACTCAGCCTTCCTTATGGTCCAACTTTCACAGCCATACAGTGCAACTGGGAAAACCATAGCCTTGAGTATACGCACTTTTGTTGGCAGGGTGATGTCTCTGCTTTTTAGTATGCTGTCTAGATTTGCCATAGCTTTCCTCCCCAGGAGCAAGTGTCTTTTAATTTCTTGGCTGCAATCCCCCTCTGCGGTGATCTTGGAGTTCAGGAAAATAAAATCTGTCACTACCTCCATTTCTCCTCCATCTATTTGCCAGGAAGTGATAGGACCAGATGCCATGATCTTAGTTTTCTTAATGTTGAGTTTCAAGCCAACTTTTGTGCTCTCCTTCACCCGCATCAAGAAGCCCTTTAGTTCCTCTTCACTTTCTGCCATTAGAGTGGTATCTTCTGCATATCTGAGGTTGTTGATATTTCTCCCAGCAATCTCAATTCCAACTTGTGATTCATCTAGCCCCGCCTTTTGCATGATGTGTTCTGCATATAAGTTAAATAGGCAGGGCGACAATATACAGCCTTGCCGTACTCCTTTCCCAATTTTGAACCAATCAGTAGTTCCATGTCCAGTTCTCACTGTTGCTTCTTGACCCGCATATAGGTTTCTCAAGAGACAAATAAGATGGTCTGGTACTCCCATCTCTTTAAGGACTTGCCACAATTTGTTGTGATCCACACAATCAAAGGCTTTAGCATAGTCAATGAAGCAGAAGTAGATGTTTTTCTGGAACTCCCTAGCTTTCTCCATGATCCAACGTATGTTGGCAATTTGATCTCTAGTTCCTCTGCCTCTTCGGAACCCTGCCTGTACTTCTGGCAGTGCTTGGTCCACATACTGCTGGAGCCTAGCTTGGTCCCTGCCATTCTAGTCCTTTATCATGCCCATCTTTGCACGAAATGTTCCCTTCATATCTCCAATTTTCTTGAAGAGATCTCTATTTCCAATTCTGCTGTTTTCTTCTGTTTCTTTACACTGTTCATTTAAGAAGGCCTTCTTATCTTTGTCTGCAGAGCACATAGTCAATCTGATTTCTGTGGTTGAATGGTTTGCCTTGGATTTGAACTGAGATCATTCTGTCATTTTGGAGATTGTATCTCAGTACTGCTTTTCCTACTCTTTTATTGATTATGAAGGCTACTCCATTTCTTCTGAGGGATTCTTGCCCGCAGGAGTATACATGATGGTCATCTGATTTAAATTCACCCAATCCTGTCCATTTTAGTTTGCTGATTCCCAAGATGTCGATGTTCAGTCTTGTCATCTCATGTTTGACCAGCTTTGCTTGATTCATAGATTTTACATTCCAGATTCCTATGCTGTGATGTTCTTTGCAGCATTGGACTTTCCTTTCACCACCAGATACATACGCAACTGAGTGTTCTTTCGGTTTCAACCCAGTCACTTCATTCTTTCTGGCACTACTAGTACTCATCCTCTGCTCTTCCCCAGTAGCATATTGGACACCTTCCAACCTGAGGGGAGGGGCTCATCTTCTGGCGTCATATCTCTTTGCCTGTTGATACTGTCCATGGGGAAAGCCAGATACTGAAGATGAAACTCAAATACTTTGGCCACCTAATGATAAGGAAGGACTCGCTGAAGAAGAACCTAATGCTGGGAACAAT